CTCGTTAAATCGACCGCATATCCTAATTAATGCCGCAATACTTTATAAAATCATGTTTTCTGTGAATCTTTCCAAATTACTTCTAAAAATCCGGCAAAATAATATTCTTTATCGTTTCAACAATTTTAAAGACTTGGGTATCCCCGAATTTGCCAAATACCGTAACCGTTCTCCAAGTGTTTCCCCCTAACATTTCCCTGCCTGCACCCACCTGGCGACCCACCCAAAACCTATGGTTTCACTGGCCCTGGTGAACCCGGCAGCAAAGAAGAGGAATCCCGAAAAAAAGTGATGATCACCATGGGTGGAGACGTCACAACGCGGGCCATACCTCCACATGGCTGTCGCGCCAGGATTAGCGCTCATTTTCCGGATTTGACGTCCCCACATGGCAAGGGGGCTTTTTTCTTGCCTACGCCACGCTCCATCTTAATTACCAGCCTGGAGCTGTGTGTTGGAAAGTTGGAAGGTAAGGACAGGTAAAACACGGTTTTTCCGGGTGATACGCATTCGGTGCAAATGCAGGAAGTAGTGCAGATTCGTACTACTTATAGAGAGGAATTCAGCGGTAGGGGTAGAATTTTGCAGGCTTTGGTCTTGGGCTAAATGGTCTTTGCTAGCTTGCCCATCCGACTTCCTTGTTGCCTTTTCGCATCAAAAAATAGTCTTCTGTAGCCTTCCGAGTACCTTTAGAACGTTTCGACACTATTCTAAATCCCAAATAACGCCCAGACCCTGTTTTCCTCGTTTCCCTCAAGGTCTTTGCTAGCTCGCCTTCGAATCAAACAAAATTCAAAAATTAAAAAAATTCTGGATCAGCTGAGCAAGTTTAGTAAGTTAGTAACAATTACTAAGTTTAACTTAGTTTAACTAACCCTGAAGTTTATCCAAGTTGTTCCTCATCCTCTGCCAGCCTGCCGCCTAGGAGAAATTAAAGCTTAACTGGCCCTTAAATTTCACAAGTGGCCGCTGCTAGCCAACCCCAAAAATATCGAAAAGCTCAATCAGTTTTGTTACGTGCCACTACGCGAAAAACAAATTTCTACACTTCCACAAAACCCAGGCATCACCGCTGAGTCCGACTACAATCCCCGTCAAATCCCTAAAAGCCTGCTAAATACCGTAGCCACGGCAATTACATAATTTTCCGCTGTGATCCCAGGCGAAAATCCACGTGGATTTGTGTGACGGCCCAAGACTGAATAGATCTGAATCTATTGCCCAACTCGTCCTAAAGGGCACTTCTTTTCAATAGAAACCCGCATGGGAAACCCAGTTTCTTTTTCCTTTTTTTCACGCCCAACCGACCGTATCCCCGGCAGGACCCGTCAGAAACGAGAGAAAATCGGATTAAAATTCGTGGGTGCACTCTGCATGGGCCGGGCCCGAAATTTGCGTAATCCCCGCCCCACTCCAAAATTCCGTTTTTGTACGGCTTCACCCGGATCGGTGGACTGGGAGGGGGCCTGAGCCGAGTCGAATCGCAGATGCAAATCGTTGGTACGCCCCTCCGACGGCGCAAAATGTTACGAGCCCGGCTGCTGAATTTTGATAGTTTTGTCGTGGCTCTCTCCTTCAAATGCTTTATTTTTGTTGGGTTTAAAGGGACATGGAAGTCAAGCAAAACCTTGTCCAATCGTCCCGGGTTCTTGTTCTCTTTAAGGAAAGTAAAATCGAAATTCTAAACTATGAAAAAATTTATCTAAATTCCTGCACCGACAGTTTAGTACTAGGCCAAAAATTGTAACTCAAATGTAATTTTAAATCGATCTGCTCCTGTGCTTTTTTACGTATCTTAAGCTACCTAGCTAATTCTACTCGTACATAGACTGGCGCCGCTCGGAGCTGTCGAGACCCAAGCGGCTTTGAGGGTCGAACACGCCTCATGAGCCTTTTAATCGACCATTTATGAATTACGTCTAGAAAACTTGTGCGTTTGGTGTCACGCTTAAACCACATCACAAAAAGACATGCTTGATGCTGATCACCTAATTTTCAAGAATTACATAGCGTAATCGAATCATGTTCCTTCAAATCGATCAAAATCCGCCATCCCGGAACTACCACCACGCCGACATGCGGATATTAAAAGCAAATTCTCATTTTTACGAGGAGTGTGGCAATGGACAGGGCGGAATTGCTCCATTTGTATGTGTGTTCATTTGGCATCGCGGAAACAATGGGTCAACATCGGGGAAAAGCCGGGGATTGGCCTCGAAACGGAAGCGCGCCGTTGAAACTATTGCTACCAGGGGATTCATATAGTGTTCAGTGTACAGAATTGTACTCAGTTATACCTTGAGTAATTAAGGATCATGATTATTTTGAACTTTTCAGGCCCGCAAAAAAAAAGATATTTTCGGGTCGTTTTTCCGCCATTTTCCGTTACACTACTGTAGCCGGGAATGTTCATAGTATGGGACCGTAGTGATCGATACGTTTAGCACCTTTAAAATTGTATTATCCCAGTTTATTGGAGCGAAAAAAAACAACTTTTCGCAAAATTTGAAGAATAAGGGAGTTTTCCAATTATTTTTGAAGATCCCGAGACTTTCCGCTGCTTTCCGATAAATGATTGGTTTAGTTTCAAAAGTTTCAAACTCATATAAGCATAAATTCCTTTGATCCCTCGTGATTTTCACTGTTAAATAATTTCTTTGCAAAATTCTCCATGAAAACACAATTTTTCTTGTCAAGTTTCAGGTTTTCACGATTTTCCGCGTGTTTCCGGCGTCTAGTAGCTTATTTTAAAGGCCTAAAACTCGCAGAAACGTAAATCACTCATCTTATTAACCCCATCAATCAATATTCGTCCAAAATCGCTTCGATCTGCCCAGCTGACCCATCTGCGCCCCACGTGCACTTTACCCCCGCGTTTGGCTCCCTCCCACCACCCCAGTTGGTCAGCCGATACAGCCGGAAAATATTTTTGGCTTCTGCTCACCCCGGTCGCTTCCTTTTGCTTGCATACGCGATAGTCGACGCCCGTACACGACTTTTTGGCGCCGTGATGGCCGGGAATTTGGGTTGATTAAGTTAGGGTATTGGGGTGAATCGGGCGGATGCGACCGTGATGTCTGATATTCTCTGGCTGGTAGAAACTACATGAACAACCTATTGACGGGTGACAGGTAATCCTTAATTCAATTTATTCAACTAATTAAAGCGTTTAAGATGCTTGCTTTTTCTGTGTTTTTCTTCGAAGATGCTGCGGTTAGGTTAGAACCTTGCGCGCTTTTTCAAAAATCATGGATTTGAAGCCGGAGAGAGAGAGAGAGAGCGTGCCAGCAAGAGAAAGTGATAGAATCGAGAGTGAGAGAGAGAGAGAGGGTGAAGGTGAGATAGATTTCCAACAACCTCCAGTTTTCCATATCGGGAAGCCCGTCCGGCACCACCAATAAAAACACTTTTTGATGTCATCCACAACAATCCGATGCACGATGATGTTGTGTCTGGATGCCTAGTTTTTCCATATTTGCTATATTGACCAAATCATCGTATTCATAGGACTTTACGTACTATGCGCAAATTTCGCTGTTTGAAAATACGATGTTCCAAGTACGGCGCGTACGCAAAGTAGCCGTACGTTGCTTATGTATCGTAGCTAACACGTACGTACTGACTATTTCGGACGTGGACTAAAGTATTTCTGACTAGTTTTCCTATGAAAAATGCGTTTGCGGCAGCAACTTATGTATCAACGGCATCTACGCGTACTAATGCAACAATATTTTTACCCCGAATGTATTTAAAATTAGCAACTTTTCACAAACCCATTAATTCTCCAGCTACCGTAACCTTTTTCAGCAGGTCCCTTGATTAAACCACCTCGATACCTGCTCTATATGCAAATTATCCCCTTGCAAAGTACCCGTCAACAGGATTGTCACGTAGTTGTCGATTTCGACAAGTGCCCCCCACTTGTCACTTTGGGAGGTGTCGGGTGATCGGGGGGTGAATATTCAAATCTGTTCCCTCGGCCGATACTCGACGTAATCCACCCCAGGCGGATTACAGGCCGAGGGGCACTGTATTCGACATTCGAGTGGAAAGGGGAGGAGACTATCACACTTGCTCATACTTGCCCAAAACTTGTGCCTCCACCTCATGCTCATATTGGTCAGTCCTATGGAACGTTGCTTACCGTAAAAACTTATTAACTGCACATGCAGTTATACCTTGCGCAGAAGAAGCCTGATACCATAGCAAAGTAAAGTTTTCTTAGTTTCTTTAAATCCAGGTATTTCAGGATCAGAATGGCATAGATTTTATCTATATTCTGCTATTTTCAGCCACGTGAAGGTATGCTATTCGGCCTGGAGGTCGGTCTTTACGGGAATTTTATAGACTTAAATTGATATAAATAAAAAACTTCCCACCCCCATCTTCCTGCGGTTCACTGCGTGCCAGAAGTTGCATCTTACAGTCGCTGAGCACGTGTAAATGCACCTCTCTGGTATACAGCGACCGCGGGGCATTCATGAAATGACAATATCGGTCCCTCTTTCTCTCTCTCTTTCACGCTCTCTCTCTCTCTGTCTCTCTCGCTCTCTCTCTCTCTCTCTCCCTTTCTTTCACTCTACTCTATCTCGGTCACTCTCACGCTCTCGCACTTTTTCTGAGCCCCCATCGACGATAGTTCGCGCTCTCTCACTAGATTTCAGCCTCGATCACTCTCATCACTCGCTCTAACTCTTGCGCACTCCATCACGCCCTTTCGCTCTTGCTCACTAAGTCTCGCTCTCTGTCTCATTATATCTCTCGCTTTCTCGCTGTCTCTCGCTAAACCATGAAGGCGCAGCGACAGCTTATTCAGGTAAAAATTCCGACGTTAAGCTGGGAAATTTGTATTTATTAACTGACGTAGCTCTCAATAAAACTCCAATGCTTTAAAGACGAGAACAAAAATTTATTCAAAAAGCAAGCAGCCGAACGGGGGTAATTGGTTATGATGGGTACGGTCACGAACGGGGAATCACAACAGTCTGCACGACCAATTACGCAATGAAAATCATGGCGCCGATTAGGGAGACGGTGGCCAGGTAGATGAACACGATGACGGGGCTGAGCTTGTTGATGACCGAGGTGGGAGCCGGTGCCTCATGCTGAACGATCGGGACCAAGTTGCACAGGCTCGTTGCGCAGCACTGGCCGCGGCCCTGCTTTTCGCGGGCCTGGAAAAGATTAATATGCCGGGTCTGGTCTGGTGAATAGTGTTACATGGTGGCGTACCTAACATAAAGTGTTTTAATAGTGTTTTCTGCAATAGATAAATATATTTCAACTAGAAAAACTATATAAACTTGAAAAAGTCAAAAATGTGGTCAATTTCGGCCGAAAAACCATATTTTTGTATTTTTTAATACAAAATTGTACAGTTGATAAAGTAAAAAAGCCTTCTTTTGTATCTCACCGCGCAGTCCTCCTCCGTGTAACACGCGCGCTCCGCCTGGCCCGAAGTCTGAAAAATTGGAATTTTGCATCCATCATCGACGTCTTGGATTTACCAACTTCAAAACTCTGGAAAATTTGCCCACATTGTTCACGAGCACATAGCACCGCGGGTGGTCTAGGCTGCACATGGCCCTCGTTTTCTATAACTGAACATTGAGGAATGGCGGAAGGCAAAAACAAGCTGAGAGAGAGCGCGTGAAAGAGAGAGAGTGAGAGAGCGAGAGCGGGTGAGAGGGAGAAAGAAGATTTTATTTTCCAAAAATCCGGAAATCTTGACCTGCTCGACGTCGCCGGTGTGCGTGTAGCATTCCAGGGAAGCGGCCACGGCGATGAAGGCGAGGACGAGAAGCGAATGGCGCAGCATCACTAAAAAAATAAAAATTGTTCTTTTAACAAGCCGGCAGTAGCGAATTTGTGAAGTCATAACGCCTAGTTAGCATACCAGAATTACGATACTCACTGCGAAAATGCCCTAGATTACTTACCGTTCCGTGTCGTTGTCGAGCGGAAATAATGACTTTTATGGTCCGCACTTGTTGACAAATTTTGCCAAGTTCCGCTTGTGATATTCAAATTTTTCCACAGTTGAAGTAATGTCTCTGAAACTTAAAAAATCTCTAACCTACCGTATACCAGACTTGAATTTGGCATTTTCTGGTTCAGCTTTCTGGTTTTTCCGGTTTCTAATTTCTATTTTTCGTCTAGAATATACAATTTCAAATATTTATTCAAGTCACAAGGCACATCCATGAGATCAGAAGAAGAAGCGTGGCACGACGGGTTGAAGGGGGAGCAGTGGTGGTTGTTGGGGTGGAGGGACGACTGGCTGGGGTACGGTAGCCGGGACAGCGTTTAGATTCAAGGGGCCGAGGTTGAGCTGGCGGAGTTGTTGGTTGATTTCCTCTTCGAGAAGCGCGTTTTGTTGTACTTGACGCTCCAGGACCTGAAATAGATTTTTGTCAGTTTGTAAAAGGTGTTCAGGCGGGGTTTTCTAATTTAGTTACAAAATTTAACTCACCTGTTGCAACAAATTCGGCCTCTCCACCCTCAGCTTCAAATATGGGTCCAAAATTGGCTGAACAGGTTGCTGATTTATTGCCATCAGCTGACGTACGATTTCTTGGTTGTCTAAAAAACATATCTACCCAAATTCCGATGTTTTCTTACTCGCTTCATGGTCCTTCAGGAATATCTGCGGGTTGAGCTTTCGAAGCACCTCTTCAGGATTTGGTGGCGGGCCTAGGAAAGTGATTTTAAGCTGATTAAAAACGATAAAAAATCAGAAAAGGGCCTTCAAAACGAGCCTGCAATAAGTGGTGGTAGATCAAATCTTCCGTCCTCGATCAGCGGGCTGTTTTGGAATATTCGAGTGTCAGCAGAGGTATCTCTTCCTAAAAGTTGGCATTAGCAAAATCCAACGTTTTACTCAGGATTTTTACATCATTTTTGTCTTTAGAAAAATAGCTTTATTCAATTTACATCTTTGATAGCTGATTCAGGTAGTGGGTATTGTGTAATACCGGGATGCGAAGTTGCTTACCTATAGGATAAAACGGCTGAACATTGGTACTCGTGTCTGGTGGTAAAGGTATCGGCGCTGGCCCGGGTGGAGCGACAGCCAAGGGCTTGACTCTGGGATGAGCTTCGACATTTGGTGGCGGATCTTGCAGGTGGCGTACGATGGCGTCGATCTGGCCCTTCGCCGCGGTTTCGGGATGAACCTTAAAAAGTCACTCACCTTGATTGAGCATATAGGAACCTTTTGACAGAATTAGATTTCAAGCCACCCAGCATGGCAAGAGACTTTTTCGGATGAGCAATAATTTAATTCTCTGCAACAAGACCTTTTCGGATTTAAAGCGCTCGCGATACGCAACGCACATGCTATGTTCCACACGTAAAAAGCTGATCGATTACGCAGAGCAAAAGTTATGTTGCGGCGAAATTTTCAAGGGAACTATCAAAAAATATACACCTCGCCAGGCCCTTTTCGTGCTGCTGCTGGCAGATTCTCGGTTGGGTATTAGTATCATCGCATACGAAAAATTTTATACCCGTCCAACTTACCGGCACCGAGTTCGACTCGTTGTTGATGATCTCGACTTGGACCTGTCTCTTCGCCCTCGTCGGCACGTTCGGCTTCCAGGGCAGATCTCTCGGAATTGCGATCCGGGGATCTCTTAAAAGAAAATCAGTCAAAAATCTGATGCAATTCTGATTTCAGGCTCGTGCTCAAACCTGTGTTTCTGATAGTCAAACAACGAATTGAACGGGTCGATTTGGTTAATGTTGTGGCCGTAAGTGATGGTGAGATTGTCGCGGTCTGAAAATGTGCAAGAGAATTTGCGATCTTCGAGTAGCGCCTACCGTAATAGATCTTTCCGGAGAAGGGGAAGCGGTAGGCAACACCCTTGCTGAGCGGGATCGGAACGTCAATATCTCCCTCAACTCCATCGCTACCACCCCAGTCGTGCTCGATCTGTAATTAGAAGCGTTTTGTACCTGCGCTTTCGTAAGTCTTTGCAAATGAAATTTTTCAGGCGTAATTTCCACTTATAGCCCCCGTTTTAAAACATATCCAAACCCACTACCAAACCAAAACGTAATCCAAAACACAGCAAACAGCCTCTACGCAACTTTGTGGCGACAAATTTGCTACATTTTCCGTTTCAAAACCTCCAGTAACCAAAAATCGCTTTCTCATTTTAAAACCTACGCCCAATCCGTACGTCATCGTGTACGGGTTGCACAACGGCGGCTTGCAGTTCAGTGGCTCGTGCGTTCGGGCAAGTTTTCCGAGTGGAAGCGTTGGTTGGTTTGCTAAAACTCGCTTTAAAGATGACTTATATAGCGTAATAAAGGCTTCAAAAATTGGTTAAAGTTTTTCTGTATCTCTGTACTTTTTACCAATTTTTTTTGAGCGTGTGCACAAAATCAGCATAGACATTTATGCAACCGGTATTTCTCAATTATACACGTAACATCGACAAGTGAGATATGCATAAAGAGAGGGAGAGCGAGAGCGAGAGAGAGAACGAGCGTGAGTTATTAACACATACCAGGGTTTCAAGCCGCTTCGCGACTTTTCAACCCTGGCTCCGTCCTGGACGATTGAAAGCTTACACTTTGCATAATTCCACCCAACACCCCTTGATAAAAAGTGAAAAATACGCTCTCTGTTCCTTTAAATAGGTTACCGCCACTTCCGGTGTATGTTAATTGCTTTCTAACAAAGAGAGTCTCGGATTTTTCAACAAAAACTAAAATTTATGTCGGAAATAGGCGATTTTGGTCAATCCGATATGTGTGCAGTCGTCTCCAGACCATCACGCTCCTAATGACATATCAAAAACGCCCCTAACTACTCTCCTCCTTGAGATACTGCTGGAACACGGTGACGGAAGTTGCATGCAAAGTGGAATAGACACACACACAAACCTAATTTTTTAATATATAGTAGGATCCTTGACTATCCCTGCTCGTTTCCAGGGATCGGAACGCCGGGGAGAAGATGCTGAAAAAAATGTTGTATACCAGCTAACTTTCATCGCTAAAAAATACAGTAATATTTAGTAGTACTTTGCGGCTGATCTTATCAAATTTTTCACGCCGTTAGGATTGCATACCTGAATCAGCAAGTCGAGCTTCGCCTCCAGCCTCAAAGTATGATTCTCCAAGTCCTGTATCCGATCCACAATGCTTCTCATGTCCCCATCCCGCGGCACAAATCTTGGCACCGGCTTGCTCGCTTGAGAGGGCGTTGTGTGGACTGGAGCGGAAATTGTTGAAGTGACCGTCACGGTGGCGGGCGGTATTTCGGTGTTTTGGGCAAGGAATTGCTCGAGGGACGCGCTGGGGGCCAACGGTGGCTCGTCGTCATCCAAAACAACGAGATCGTCTTTTTCGGGAAGCTCGTTCTTGATGTCGAGCATTCCGTAGAGACGGTTGTGATGGTTGCTGCCGCACGGCGGATCGAATTCGTCAGGACCCGCGGTGTCTTCCTGAAAAATTGGACATCAAAGTGTCGAAAAATCAAGAATCTAAAACAGCCAAACGGTACTGGGATGTTAGCGGGGGATGGGAATACCAAGGGCATATGCTATCTATTCTAAAAAAAAACTTGTGTATTCTTTTAACGTTGTTTTTATTAAAATTTGCCTATATTCCAAGTAGAAAAATTTTTAGAAATCCGAAATTCTAAATCGAAGAATCGAAAAATCTTAATTTTTGCATTTTTTAACAAGATTTGTTAAGTTCTTGCTTTGAAGAATAGCAAAAAACAACAGTTTTACACCGCTTCTGATCGTTATATTAAAAAGATTGGCTCCTAGGAAAAAGAGTGGGCACGCCCGATAATGTAACAGCACCGATTTTTATTCCTAAAAACCTTTTGATTGTTACTATTTCTATGCGCAAATTTTTTTATGAAATTTCCATGCTTTAAATGGCATCAAAAGCAACCTAAAGGGGGCGATTTCATTATTTGGACCCTACTGTTATCCCCACGAAACCCGTCCCCCGCTAACAGACAAGTACCAATTAGAAAAGAAATAGAATAGAACGTAATTGTCCGCATAAAAGAGTTTAATGCTTTTTGTACTCACCGCGGGCTGCCCGACACTCAGGAACGAGTCCATGCCAAATTCCGTAAATTCACCGTAGCGACGGCAAGCCTCTTGGATGACACGTTCAATTGGGGGAGAAGCTAAATCAACAGTTTTTTAAGCTAAAACGCTCCTACACGGTGACTCCGGCGCTAACTTTTGAGCGCAACTTCCTCCGCTTGTTGCTCATATGCCAGCGAATTTTGTCGTCGTCAATAAGGGCCCGATCGCGTCGGATCAGCTCTTCGTTGATGCGGTTCCGGATGCGGTCTTTTGATTCTTGAAGCCTAAACGTTTTCTTAATAAGTATACAAAATAAAAATTATATTTGCCAGGTTGTAGTGGACTTGACTTAAGTTTATTAATACGTGTCCTTTCCATAACGTATTCGAATGTCTCAACTTACTTTTGGCAAATATGAAATCATTGTTTTTCAGCCTCTAGCTAATTTTTCCGTTACTTTTCGTAATTACGTGTCGTTTTCATGACGTAATCGATTGTCTCAACTTACTTTTGGCGAGTCCCAACATCTTTCGATTGAGCCAGAAGCTGCTGGTGCTCATCGGAGTACCACAATTCGTGCAGGATCAACGAGACGTCATTTGGAATGCGGACTAGAATATTTGGCTTATTGCAAAAGCTTAAAAAACGACCCTTCGCGCTCGACGGCGTCGACTCGTCCCCGTCGGCTGCACGCTTCCGGCGCGGGGCTGAGCCGATCATTTCTGGGGTTTTAGCGCTATAAATAAGAATAATAAATTTATAACAATTACCAGCGGGGGGAGGAGCCGCTTCGCGACTCTCCCCCGCTGGCCCCGTCTAGGCCCTATGAATCGAGCGCCCTTCCAAATACAGTTACTCTGAAGAAAGAAAAACGCATCTCCCATGCAAAACTGTATTCACATGCAGCGCAAGCTTAAATTGCTAGTGCCGTTATTAGGCCGGCGGCGCATGCTTGATCGGCCAGGTCCTAATCCAGCGGCGCCAGCTTGAGCGGTTTGCTTCGAGATAAAGCCTGCGGCGCAAGTTCGAGCGGTTACATGCTTCTTTAGCGTGCGGCGCTAGCTTCAATGGTTGGCTTTATTCGTTAGCCTGCGGCGCTAGCTTGGGCGGCTGACTTCGTTCTAAAGCCTGCGGCGCTAGCTTGAGCGGCTGGCTTCGTTCTAAAGCCTGCGGCGCTAAGCGAGCGGCTGACTTCGTTCTAAAGCCTGCGGCGCTAGCTTGAGCGGCTGACTTCGTTCTAAAGCCTGCGGCGCTAGCTTGAGCGGCTGGCTTCATTCTAAAGCCTGCGGCGTTAGCTTGAGCGGCTGGCTTCATTCTAAAGCCTGCGGCGCTAGCTTGAGCGGCTGGCTTCATTCTAAAGCCTGCGGCGCAAGGTTGAGAGGGTAGCTTCATTCTATAGGCTGCGGCGCAGTTTTGAGCGGCTGACCTCATAATAACATCCCCACACGGAAATCCGAGCAAAAAGCAAAACACCTACGACACCCGAGGATCGAACCACCGATGGATAGATTAGCAGGGCGAAGCGCTAAACACTACACCATGCAATGCTTGGCAGCACACGTCAAACACCCTTTTTATGTCTCAAGGGGGTTGCCCGGGGCAGGGGGAGGAAAGGCATCGAGAGGCAGAACCAAAGAGACGACCAAACTCGCGAGTGCAACTGGCAAGAATGAGGAAATTTGTATTTTTTCACATTATGCAAATTAGCCCTCCGGGACCCCCAAAAATGAATAAAACCGGCTTTAACTTTGTAAACTTGTATTTTATCGAAATTCTGAGAACGCCATCGGAAACAGAAGGGTCGATTCCCCCGGGTGACGGAGAATTGGGGCATTTTATGCACCGGAAGGCCCTCAAATCGGGCCTCGAAAGTGACATCCACACACACACACACACATACGCGACCAAATTATATAAGGTAGGATATTTATAGAAAAAAGAAGAAAATTATAGAAAACGCGTATAAAACTGAAATAAATTATGAGACATGAAAAACAACAATGTACAGCCGCTTGTACCAATAGTACCGTTTACGAAACCGTAATTTGGGTTTCAAAGTAGCTATTAATTCTTGAAAATAGCAATGTAGAGCTTTGTGCAAGGATACACCACATGTACATAATTTACACCACTTGCACATCTGTTTAGAACCACAAAAATGCGAAAAAAAATCCAAAGAAAAACGATCAATATAGACGCAAGAAATACTCTCGCCCTGGCAATGCCGTTTGTTTACACGGGCGGCCCCGGAATCGATTACTCGGGCGCGTAAGTGCACTTTGGCGCCAGTGTCACCCCAAGGGGGTACGGTGGGCCGGGTGTGCTATGAGTAGGGGCGGCAAACACTGGCTTGTTTATGGGTGACACCGGGGTGGGGTTGACCCCTCGAGGAGCGTTTTGTGAGTCATCCCTTTTTTTGTTAGATCGGTAACCGAACGGGGTAACGCTAATTCCTGGGTACAGACTTACAGGCGTCGTTTTTCTCGTTATTTTTTGACGATTTCCTCGGTCATTTCTAATTTTTTTTGCTTTATTGGAACCGAAGAGGCCCTGTAGCCTGGATAAGTCTGGGTGTTTCCCGAGCTTTGATTCTGGATTAAAGGGACTAGCAAGTGTCCTAATCGACGCCTGCTATCGACTAGGTGACGACAGCTACACGACACACCTAATGATACCAACGGCACATTACAGGTTGTAGCGTTTGAGGCGTAATTTGACCCGACTGTAGCAATGGCGCCATCCGCTTTCGAACTCCCTGAATCGGGCGAATCCCACGTATTCTTCACAACCAGCCGCTTACAGCGGCTTTGCCGCTGCAAGCGGCTGGATTTCGGGCTACCCCCTTCCGCTCCCTCCCCCTCCCTTTGTGATGGCTTTCGATACTTTAAAGGGTTTAAATAATGAATTAAAATGATTTAAAAGTATTAAAACAACTGAAAAAAGCGAGCTAGGCGCGGGAAAGGGCTTGGGGAAGGGGCGGGGGAAAGGGGGCGTGGCCTCCCGGGGAGAGGGCCCCCACTCGTTTTATTAAGGCGCCACTTTCAAAATTAATTATTTTTATTTAAACAAAAACTTTTTCATAATTTTTTTGATCATTTAAGGGGTTTCTGACTACGCTCTATCCAAATCCGAAGAGACCTAAGCTCTACCTCCTTTCCCCTTCGAGTTATAGTTGGCTTCTGACAGACAGACAGACAGACACCACTACTGAATTCTTATAGTTGATTTTGGCCTCTGATGTCAGGTTTTAAAGCACCAAACATTGGTTTTAATTTCGTGCTTATGAATGGTCGTACTTTTCCTGTCTTTACGTCTCTGTACTTTTTCGTTTTTTTTTTTGGCAAATAAAGGGAAAGTCCATGCTCGATTTTTCCAAACCTACCTCGATTCCAGTGTGAGCTCGGGTTGCTCATCAACTCCACAAAATCCTCCTTTTCCAAATCCATCATATTGACCGGATGGTTGAGGTATCCAAACTTAATTCAAATATTGCAATGCTGTTCTCACTACGATACCTTGGTTGTCGTATCGTGGATACGGTTGAAGAAACGACCGTAAATGTCGAGGATTCCCCACGAGGGGATGGCCAGGTTCAGGTCACCTCCGATGTGCTAAAAGTTGTTAGCTTGTATTGTCACCCAAAAAAATTTAAGACGTTGCCGTAACGATTTTAAGAGTATACCTACCCGAGAAATCGATGGATCCAGATCCAAACCCCCGGAATATTGATTTTGAAACGGAAAAACAGGCCAGTAATCGCTGGGATGTGAACGGCCAGGGAGCGGCTCCTGAGGACCTGAAAAATTAAATTTGCGACATCAGTGACCAAAAAATCGAGTTGTCACCCTCCCTTTAAAAAGAAGTTTTATGCACCTGCTCGAATGCTTCTTAAAGAATCTTTGCTATTTTCCAATTTCTCAAATCTAGCTCCTCGAATCTCTGCTAGCATTCCCTTGTCTTCAATTCCTCAAAGAATCTCTGCTAGCTGCCCACCGGGAATCATATAGGGCTGCGGAGCCAATTGGCGTTTTGCCAACTTGCTGTCAGCATCCTGCTTCATTCGCTTGTAGAGAAATTTGTAAATGTCGCCGGGTTCCTGAAGAATAAAGCATAATACGGAATTGATAGACTGTAGCGCATAAAAAATCTAATTTTAGCTCACCTCGTCTTCTTCTGCCTCCTCGCTCACGTCGTCGTCATTTCTTAATGCTCCGAGCTTGACTGCCAAAAATACGACGAGTAACCATAGGACTCGGATTAGCATATGCTGAAAATTAAAATTTAGATGGTGGAGAGAGAGAGAGAGCGAACAAGTGAGAGAGAGCGCAAGAGAGAGAGAGAGCGCGAACGAGTGAGAGCGAGAGAGATAGAGAGAGAGAGATAGAGAGAGAGAGAGAGCCACGAGTGAGAGCGAGAGAGAGAGAACGAGTGATGGCGAGAGAGAGCCAAACTAAACATGCAGAATCGGACAATAAAAAGGAATAAGAACTGTGAAACGGTTTCGTAAATGACCTTGAGCATACATTAACATGCGGTTTCCGTACGAGTCTGACTTGTTTACCGTTTCTAGCCATGTTAGCGTGCATCGCGTTCAAGTTTTGGTGAGCAGCATCATTTTTAAAGGTACGGAGTAGATGGACTTGTTTATCGGCGGATCCGGTTCTTGGTCAAAATTGCCTCTTATTGTTTGGTAAAAGAAATTGACGGTTGAATGTATTAAAAATACCAAAAAAAGAAGAGTTGGGTGGATGAACAAATATATGGTATTAAATCGATAAACCCGGATCTAGATTTCGAAAAAAAAATGATCAGCTCTGGCAAAACGCTCGAGGTCGATAAGCTGGCCGCCGCGGGCGTTTGCTGTGGCGGGATCCGGAATGATGTGTGTGGGAGTTGTTTGGATGGATGGATAGATAGAGAGACGGACAAAACCTGCCCCATACCAAGCCATCAGTATCGTCTCGTACCCCGAGGGGCGGACAGGTTCCCTCCTCGATCCCGAATCTGCCACAGGCTGAGGCAAGCCTCTGGTGTGGGATGGCACTCTTGAGACAGGATGGCTGATTTTCGAGCGTTTTGATGCGCTGTGACGGCATCAGTGTCCTTTTCAAGCGGTGAAAAAATTTTTTAGAGAAATAGCAAGCAACTTAAAAAATTTGAAAGCATTTGCAAGCAGGCCTGGAAGTTTTGCCATGCCAACACCTGAAAAGTAACTTAAACTAATCTCTACATAGCTGTAATTAGTATTTGTGCTTCTTAGTTGTATTTGTGAGCTTTTTACACTTATTTTAGTGTTTATTTAGGCTCTAAATGTACCATGAAGTGCCAGTTCGACCCCTACCATGGACTGGGTCTATACACGTTCCGCGAAGCTCCAAAAACACCTGTTACGGTGGCTGAATTATCGTTTTTTCCTGACTTTGCTAAGGAATTTTATCTTTAGTTTTAGCGTTTAGCTTCAGCTTTTGTGCGTAATTGTCTAGCCCTAATCGAGATAAGGGGTGGAATCTCACGTTTTCCAGTCACTTTAAATTGATACCGCAAGGGATTTTTTTAACAGAAGGGGCTTCCTTATCCTTTGGAAACATTTTTCCATTTTTTTTCTTTTTGAAAAACTCTTTGCTATACCCCAGATTCCTCGGGTCAATCCTTCTCCGGCGCCCTCTCCATAAATACCAAGCCCAAAAAATGACCACCCGGCCATTACATTAATCCTCGGTTCCTCTCTGGCCCAAGCAATTACGCTAACGTGTAGCTCCAAGGAAAAAAATACCTATTTCTCGTGCCTTTTCCTTTCTTCCTGCAAACCTCACGATTCCGAGCCCATCCGTGCGCTCCCAGCTTATCCCCAAATGGATGCGCCCATTGTTTTAAGCGTATGGCCAAACTGCACGGAACGTTTCCTGTTTACGGCCGAAAGCCGTGGGCGGCTGCAAATTTTGGGTCGGGCCTTGGAAGTGGAATGGAAATGGACCTCGGGCAGGATTCCCGGGATCTGTATCTCCTGCCCAAAATGAGTCCAAATCCGCTCGTTCATGCCCTGGTTTGCCCCATCGGAAAAAAGCCAATTTTCCGGGGCGCCCTTTGGTGGATGCCGAGGATCTTTCGGGGAAATGGATTCAATGCTTCTGGTTTCGAGTTTTCTGCTTCCGGTGATGTTTGGTTGATTTTTTCAGCTTATTATTTTGTTATCGTTTTTTGGAAATTGCTACACATTGGAATTTTTATTGAATTTGCTTTCTCTCTATTTTTCAGGGTCTTTTCGCAATGGTCCCTCAGTAGTTCTTACTCTCTACAACTCTATCCACATTCTATCCACTTGATCTCTCGTCTCTCTGTCTCCATCGCTCTCTCTTTCTCGTTCTCTCCTTATCTCTCATCTATCTCTCCCTCTCGCCAACCAAGTCTCTCTTTTCACTACCTCTCTCACTCACCCTAAACACTCTCTAACATTCTCTCTCGTACTTATAGCACTCTCCCTCTATCTCTCTCACGCTCTCGCTCTCTCACTATCTCTCTCGCTCTCTCGCTCTCTCACCCGCTCTCTCGCTGCCTATCTCCTCCAGCTCCGATTTTTTTTATTGAAACCGATCACAAAAGCCACAGACCATATATGACTTCCGCGGTGTTGATAGGATCGCTGTGTAGTCCATTCCATTTAATGAGTTCAAAAGGACTGTGAAGTGTCAAATCGACCACTACGCACGAGCGGGAGTCGAACCTACGCGGGTCGCCAAATCCTAGGCCCGAGACGTTCTCTAAATAAGAACTGGAACTCTTTTGGCGCTTCACTTGGTTGAGGTGGGCACCCAGACAAGGTCAGGTGCAGATGCTGCCACTTCCAAGCATCTTTAAACCAATTCCAAGTAGCCATATTCCAAGAAAACACTCTCTATCATGCATACATGCATTGGGGCATCTTTTAGCTGACCAAATTTTATTACGGCTCTGCTAGATGAGGATGAGAGTAAGAGGGCTCGCCTAAACAAGATGAATATCAACCCTAGCCCCCAGCTCTTCTAAATACGCGGAGGTCGGAAGTGTTCCCCCCATGTTTTCCCGAAAACAACACCCTTGTCGGTGCATTGAGCACTGGGATGTCACTCGCGCCGAATCATAATTAATCCCTGGAACCGCTTTTTTTTGGTTGCAAAGGAGACATCGTCTTGGGTTAGGCTCGAAATTTTGGCAACAACAAGCTCGGGAGGTCCTAAAAAGTCATTCACCATTTATTTGGGTCCTTTTAGGGTACGGTTTTTTGTTTTACTGATTTCATAGACGATTAAAAATTGGTTACGATTTCAATAAAATTTATTAGCCTAGCATAATAGTACTGGTTCTAAGCGTTACATATTATGTATTGGCTTTTAATGTCATTTCATTAATTTCTGGAGTCTTTCTTTTCTAACATTTAATGCACAAGTTCATTTTTGTTCGATGTGCCTGCCTATCTATTTTTCTCTCTCTCTCTCTCTCTCTCGCTCTCCCTTTTTCTCACTCTCTCACTCTCTCTCTCTTTCTCTCTCTCTCTCTCTTCTACGCGTCTTTGTTTTTACAACTTCCACCCAATCCACTAATTTCCAGAAGACCGCGTTTGGTCTTTAGCCAGCCCCCCGGCCGTTTCTTTCCTCATTGGGACGGGGGACCCTTTTATCTCCAAATTAACACCTTCTTCGGCCCATAGGGACCCACGGCCCAGGGGGGAACCCCGCCGAAAAATCGCTGGGCCCATCGAGCGGGATGTGGCCAGACCACAACCAAAAAAAACGCCGCCAAAAAACTATTGACGGTTCCGGGGATCCCCCGCTGTGGGACCCCACAGGCCCGGGCGACAAATTTTGATGGATCGTCATTTTGTGGGTGGTCGGAGAGGCGCTAAACACATCTGGGCTATTTGGGGGATGGATTTGCTGGATTCCATGAAACACCTATTTACAAGTTATTTTTATTATTTTTTGTTTTTTCTACTGTGGAAAAATTTTTGGGGGCTATGTCTATACCTTAAGCACTCATTGATGCTAAGCCTAAGCCTAACCCTAAGCGAAGCCGAAGCGAAACCTAAGCGATGCCTAAGCAGGCGAAAGCCCAAGCATAACCCAAGTTTGA